CCCTGCTTCCTGGCCAACTCTGCCTTTCCTCAAATCCTGCTGGACCAGGCTGGCCTAAGCCTGGTGTTTTCCAGCCTGGAGCTGAGGAGGAGGAGAGTGATGGGCTGTTGGGCACTCCTTGCTGCCTTCTAGCACGCTGGGCAGCATGGACTCCCTTTCCCCTTACGGTTGGACTTGATGATCTTTGAGGTCTCTTCCAACCATAATGTTTCTATGGTTCCCCGTGGCTGAGGGTTTCTTCCACCATCATCCACCCCGTGGGTGCCAGGCTCTGAGCGTGGCCCAAGGGCTCAGGGCTCTAGGCTGCTGGACCTTGCGTATTTCTCGGGGGGGGGGTTTAGCAAAACATTAGCCTGGGGGCTGATTTTTGTCTTGTTTCAGAAGGTGTACAGCCTGTTGACCTCTCAGCTGTCTGACCTTCAAGAAATTGATAGAAATGAAGAAAACCAAACTGGGACTGCTCGTCCTTGGGCAATTCCTCTTTGCTTGGAAGAACCTGTCTGAATCATCTTGCTCCCTTCACTCAACTGTGCTTCTTATTCACGCCTCATCTCTTTTCACTTCATCTGATCTCAGACTCTTCTCTATCTTCCTTTCTCTCTGGTAACTCACGCCTTCCCTTCTCACCCGAATCCATCTTTGCTTCCTCTGCATTTGAACTGGGTGGGACTTCACTCTGTGCTGATGGAGTGAAAATCCCAGGAGTCCCGAAACCACAGGAGAAATAACCTACCCTGTTTCAGTTTTAGTGTGTGGCAACCTGGCAATCAGCTGCCTACTGCGGGGCACCATCCAGCTCGTGCTCTGCGGCATGTGCGATGGAGAGAAAGCTGAACGTTTTGGCTGCTAAGCAAGTCTGGCAAGCATGTGTAAGTTCAATCTTTTCAAAGATTCAACACGTGCCCAGATGTGTCTTTAAAAAGGAAGGGCAAAAAGGCCAATAGTGACATCAGCCACGGCCTCTGCACTAAATCTTATGTCACCGCTTCTGAAATGTGAAGAAATTAAGAGTTTCTTAATTAAAGTTTTAAGAATTCTTTGAATATAATTAAAGCAGCACATGTTCCCCATGGTCATTCTTAGAAATGACTTGAGTCATTTTTGTTCTGTTTTTTCCTAAAAATCAGCTGGAGTCGCAGTATGTGTAATCACACTCCAAAGAAAAGTTTTGGCCAAACTTGGAGTAACTGAAAATGTGGCCTTAAAATAGGAAGTGTTGACTAGCCATAACCAACAAAATGCGTTGATGGTAATAAGACAAAAATAAAACATAGTACCCACTTACTACAGCATTAACTAATTAACTAGAATATGTTAGAATTTATTTTGTCCCTGCGGTTTTTAATTCTGCTCCATTTTTCCTGTG